AAACAGATCTACATTGTTCACCTGGTACAAACACCAATTGAAAACAGATCAAAGATGTAGGTATAGACCCTGAAACTTTGAAACTGCTAGAAGAAAATATAGGGGAAACACTTAAGTCGTGGGCACAAAGACTTCCTGAATAGGATTCTAATACCACAGGAAAGAATAGCAAAAATCAACACATAAGACTAGATCAAATTAAAAAGTTTCTGCACAGCAAAAGTGAAGAGCAGCTCACAGGACAGGAGATAAATCTTTGCCAGCTACTCTTCACTGAGATTTAATATCTAGAGTATGAAAAGAATTTTAAAAAAACCCAACCAAAATTTCAAATAGCCCACTCAATAAATGGAAAAATGAACTGAACAGACACTTCTCAACAGAAACCATATAAATGGCTAAGTATATGAAAAAATGTTCACTATCTTTATTCCTTAGGAAAATGCAAAACTACACTGAGATAATATCCGATCCCTGTCAGAATCACCAGAATACAAAAAAATAAAATAAATGTGGGAATAAATACTTCTACACTATTGGTGGGTTTGTAAGTTAATAGACCAACTATAGAAATCAATGGAGGTTCCTCAAAAAACTCAGACTATATAGCCTGGGTGTAGTGGCACATGCCTGTAATCCCAGCACTCAGGGGGCAGGAGGATCGCTATGAGTTTGAGACCAGACTGGGTTACAAAGTGAGCTTAAGGGCAGCCTGAACTGCATAGTGAGACCCTGTCTCTAAAAGAAAAACACCAAACAAACTAACAATTACCCTGTGACCCAGCCATACCACTCCTTGATATACACAAAGTAACTAAAGTCAGATACTGTGAAAATACCTGCACACCCACGTATACTGAGGCACATTTCACAGTAGCCAAGATATGGAACTAACCTACATGCCCACCAACAGATGAATGGATAAAGAAAATGTGGCATAAATACACAGTGAAGTATTATTTGACTATAAAGAAGAATGAAATTCTGTCATTTGCAGGAAAATGGATGGAACTGGAAGGCTTCGTGTTAGGTAAAATAAGCCAGACTCAGCTAAGTAAAATATGTTTCCTTAAATCTGTGAAATCTAAAAAAGACACAGAAGTAAATGGGAGGCTATAATTATACAAGGGAACAAGAATGTGGGGTAGAAAGAAAGGCGACAGGGAGGGTGGATCTGATCAAAATATATACACGTATGAAAATACCTTTTCTTTTTTTCCTTTTCTGTGTTCAGCACAGAGTCTACAGGATATACAGGGTCTCACTACGTAGATGGGACTTGCAGTGATTCTCGTGTGTTCAGCCTCCCGAGCGCTGAGATTACACGCGCACACCACCATGCCCAGTCTCAGTCGCCGTACCAGTGCGCCCCTGGGGGGGGGCCAGCACAGCACACTGGGGATCGAACCCTGGCCCCTGGGCTCTGCCTAAGCAGGTGCTTTAGTCTGCTGAGCTATCAGGCCGGCCCTTGAAAATATCTTCTTAAAACCCACTACTTTATAACATGAATAGGCACTAATAAAAATGTTTTAGAAAGTGTTTCTTTTGAAATATTTGGTGGTAAACTAATTTCCTTTTCCTTTTAAGTTTGTTTGTTTTGCCACAATATACAAAGGATTTCTTTTCCTTTAAAATCTAGTAGTTTACCAAGAATTTGTCTGTAGTATTGCACATTGGGGGTTACTAATGGTCTTAGCTTCACAGTGAGCTCTTCCAGTGTGTACTATTGGGTCTTTTATTTCATAAACATTATTTTAAATTTAGCTGTGGGGTAGCTCCCCTGCCTTTATTTCCTCCTCTCAGGGATTCCTAGCATATGCATGTTGGATCTTCTTTGCCTGACATGTCACTTTCTCTCAGTCTTTTGATATCTTCATTTGTTTTGATATAAAAAAGTCTGCTTAAGCCATTTCTTGCTATATTTATTTGTTCTTGTACTCCTTGTATTTCGATCTTGATTTCTAAAAATTTTTTTCCTTCTTCTCAATTATAAGTTTGGTCACCTCATTTCTGAGATTCTTCTATTTACAATGTACACTATTCATTCTGGTATAATCTTAACCTCTCTCAGGTCATTTAAAAATAGTTACAGATTTTATCTGCTTACTGGCACACTTATCTGGCATACTTTCATTGTCTATAGGGATCTTCTCCTTTTACTTATAATAACTTTGAAAGATATCTGACAACAATAATTTGAATATTTTTATATAAAGTCAGTGTTCTTTTATTTCAAGTAACTTCATGTCTTTTTTAACATAGCTATTAGAAAAGTGGAAGTTGCATATATAGTTTAGGTTTTTTTAATTTTCTTTTTTTTTTTTTTTCTTGTATTTTAGGGAAAGGTCTACAGGGTGTTCATGGTCTCACTACTAGATTGGACTCATAGTGATCTGCCTGTTTACAGCCTCCCAAGAGCTGAGATTAAAGGTGCATGCCACCTATGAATTAAGCAATTGCACTGCAGATGGTAATCTGTAATAGTAGGTTCATGCTTGGAGTGCCAGTCATTCTGGTCTTCTGAATACGGGCTGCTTGTCATGACATGCCAGTTGCTGCTGTGCTGTCTCTTGGGTAGAAGATTGTTCAAAAAGAAGGGGGTGGTGAATGAAGACAAGAAACAGGAAAAGGAATGTTGTGGGAGGGTCCTGCTTCAAGGTTGTATATGGTTAGATTTTTGGACTTATGTGTAAATATAAGAAGTATATAATTTGTTATGTCTATTTTTAAAATATATTTTAATTTTTAAATCTTTTTTTCATCATATTCTGTAGGGACTTAAAGTTCAACATATCAATACTT